ATCGTTTTAGTGGATTCCTTCTTAGTCATGGGTTTTTACAGAGTCGGTCTGATTCTTCTATGTTCATTTATCGACATGGTTCTCAGTGTATATATATCCTCTTGTATGTTGATGATATTCTCGTTACCGGTAGTTCATCCTCCCTTATTCAATCCATTATTCAGTTACTTTCTCAGACTTTTGCAATGAAAGATCTGGGTGACATTCATTTCTTCCTAGGGATTCAGATTGCTCGTACCTCTACTGGAATTTTCTTATCACAGCAAAAATATATCTCTGATTTGTTGCGGCGTTTTCATCTTCATACAGTCACACCAGTCCGTACACCTCTTCCCTCTCGTACCACTTTATCTTTAACTGATGGGGAATTACTTGCTGATGGTACAGAATACCGCAGTATGGTTGGTACTTTACAGTACTTGCTTATTACTAGACCGGATATTACCTATGTTGTCCACTTGGTCTCTCAGTTTATGCATATATGCTCCTCGCACTACTCACCGTTTAGCCGTGAAACGTATTTACAGGTATTTGCAGGGCACTATTACAGAGGGCTTGTGGCTGCGCAAGGGCGGTGATCCTTCTCTTGTTGTTGCTTACTCCGATGCAGACTGGGCTGGTTGTCCCGACACACTACTACATTTAAAGGCCTTTTGTAACAGTCAGTTTCGTTACTATTGGTCTATAAGTCTGTTACATTCTCTTAAATGTAACAGTTTTGTGCCGTTACATTCGCTGGCGTTGCCTTTTCTCTATTGTAACGCTACGTAACAATTTCGAAAACCAATTGTAATGGTGTTCTCAACAAACCGAAAGTGTTACTACAGATTAAGTGCAAATATAACAGTCTTTAACATACACAAATGTAACACCCAAGGATCATTTGGTAACAAATTGCACATTTAATTATTATCTAATGTAACAAATAATATATATATATAATAAAATAATATAATATTAAAGACAAATTGCCAAAACAGAGTATCATTTAACAAATTTTATTCAAAATAAGGACATGATACAATAAAAATAGGGGGGGACATATACCTTACCCCTAAATAAAGTAAGGGATATCTCTCTTGCATTAGGGGTACCCTAAAAGTTCACCTCTAACATTTGAGACTAAACTAGAGATATTAAAAAAATTAAAGCACTAATATGAGAACTTAGTTCGACTCCCTAAGACAAAGCCCGACAGATGCCTTCCAAGGCGAGTAAGCCTATTAATGTCTTCAATCTTGGCTAATGAATGAGCAGTGCACACATTTCGACTCCCTAAGACAAAGCCTGAGAGATATGCTTCCGAGGTGAGCAAGCCTCTCAATGTCTTCAATCTTGTACGAGAGCTTACAAGCAGCCATGGATGAGCCTAGCAGCGACCTGGAATGAACAGAATCAAATTTGTTCTAAAATTGAGTGAATTCAGTGTTAACAGTCCATCAATTAGCCTGAAGAATGAGCTTTGGTGTAAAAAGTCAACAATACCCAAGAAGCTATACTATCGCACCTGTGCAACAAACTTCAAGTCACCTCAGATCAACATAAACACCAGTTTTCACTTTTTGGTACTTAAAACGATTGACGAGCAACACTATCAAGAAAGAGGGTAGCTAACCATTATATGACATATATAAGAAAGAGGGTAGTAAACTTTAGTGATATTATATTTGAAGGATTTTAGGGAAGAAACCACAAATGGCCATTGGGTTTTTGGATTTAAATCTGCAATTTTTAAGGAATTGAAAAATTGACATATAGCCCCTGTAATATACTGTGTACACATTTGTATGTTAAGGAGACATAATTGAAGCAAACAATATATAGATTACTTGTTATCTACTACCAAACTTGGGGGTGTTATATTTCACCGTTAATATTTAGAACTTAGAAGGTAGAAACAAGTAGATATTACAAGGAGAATTTTGACATTTGCTAAATATCTCAAGTGATAGACATATAATAAAAGTCATCGCATTGTATACCATGCAAAACATAAAGGTCATTTGCTATACTATGTGAATATAAGGGGAGGATACCAAACCTTAGAATGATCAAGGGACTGAATATGTAAACCTGACAAATAAAAGAAAATTTGTGTGAAACCTATTTCACTAAGAAACCAACTATATAAATATATATAAAATAAACTCTTCTTTAGTTTATGAGGATAAGTAAAAACCAAAGAGTAATTTCAAACTTTGAGGATCCACCCAATAACCATTTATGTATATCCTTATCCAATTTTATGTTTAAAGCATTATTGAAAGATATTTCACTTAAATAAACCCATAATATGTAAGTAAATCATCTATCACAACATCAATCCTCACTTCTTAGCACAGCAATGCATCAACAATTGAATAATTGAAAGGAAACATTTACCTGGCAACTCTTAGCATAAACAGATACTTAATTTGTTCATTTTATAATAGGAAGCAGATTAATAGATTTTACCATGTCTCTTCAAAGATTTCTGAACTTTTATGTTGAAAGTGTCAAAGTGACTTATCTCAGTGTCAATTTTGTTGCGCCATCCCTTCTCTAGTTCCAGAGGACCCATTGGATGGTTAGTCCCGAGTTTCCTTCCTGTATCGATGTCTTCTTTTGTTGCAACTCCATTGTAAAGTGTATAAAATGCTTCATTTATCACTGGCATCAAGGTTCTATTTACCATAAAGTCCGCATAATCCTTGGAGCAAACGACTGTCTTGCCAAACCTTTCTGCCAAACACCTAGTTACATCATATGTGTCATCTGAGGTATCAGCACCCCTGATTATCTTAACCAGTTTCAGAATAACTGGAGGAGGATTTATAAAATGCACACCAATCACCAAACAGCAGAAATTCAGAATATCTAAAACATGCACTATATTAAATCAACAACAACAAAAATAGCAACTTAAAGTTCCAACTTCCATGTTTGCACAAATTTGAGTTTAAAGTAAAGCATAAACACAGTTTCGAGTTCCAAAAATAAACTGGCACCGGTCTTCAAACAACAAAAAAGTGGTTCAGTCTCAAAGTGAAGAATTCAAAGTATCAAACTACCAATTATCAATTATCAAACTACAATTGAAGAAAGAATCAGTCTCAATGTATAAAATTTCGAACTAAAATTTTAACTAATAATAAAATCAAAGAATTGCACTGGTTCATTACTCCGTATAATCAAAATCAAAGAATCTGATTGAATATTTTGAGAAAAAACAACTGAAATAATTGGATAATAATTTTAAAAACCTAGAATTGGAGCCTGGAAGTCGTCCGTAACTGAAAGCCTGAAAGCGACGGCCGACCGCCGACGGCCTAGCTTCGTCGACGGAATAGGATGGCCGCCTCTGGCCTCTGCGTTGAGCGTCAACGGCTGTCTCTTCGTCTATTCCGTCCCCGCCTCTGAGTTCGCACTTCAGGGCTTCAGTCTTCGTGGAGTGCTTTTAGGTACGTGGAAGTGTGGAGTTTGGACTTTGGGTCAAAGCTTTAGGTCCGAGTATATTAACTAAATATACAAAAAAATATGATTTTTATTTAAAAACAAAAATGGTCCGAGTGTTACATAGGAACGGCCCCAACCCGAAAATCAAGATTACTCGGTTACTCCTCCCGCGCCCCTGCTAAATTTTTCCACTATACATGTGTTACATTAGGGTCCACCAAAAGTAACACTAGTTGAACAAATGTAACAGATTATTAAATAGTATATAAGTGTTACAATAGCACTCAATAAATGCAACACTTTTGATATAAATGTAACAGCACATTGAAAACTATTACATTAGACTCGTTTTTTTGTAACACTTTGGACAAGTGTTACAATTTTTTTGTTACATTAGACCTGAAAATGTAGTAGTGACAGTTGTAGGTCTACTACTGGATATGCCATATTCTTGGGTGATAATTTAATCTCTTGGAGGTCCAAAAAGCAACCGACTGTTTCCAAATCCTCCATAGAAGCAGAATATCGCGCGGTAGCTTATACTGTTCAGGACACATTGTTTATTCGATCCTTGCTTGCGGATATGGGTTTTCATATTCCTAAACCAGTCCAACTTTATTGTGATAATGTCTCGGCATCCTACCTGGCGGTCAATCCTATTCAGCATGATCGAAGCAAGCACATCAAAATTGATTATCATTTTGTTCGAGAACGTGTAGCTCACGGTGATTTAGTTGTTAAGTATATTCCTACTCAGTTTCAGTTAGCAGATATGTTTACTAAAAATTTGACTAGTCAGCGTTTTAATTTTCTTAAGTCCAATCTTCGCGTTGTTCCCTCTGCACAGATTGAGGGGGTGTAATAGATAGGGATATTCTTGTAATTATTGTACCTTGTATTATTATATATACATGTACACGGCTACCTCTAGGGTAAGCTATTCCATCATATTTGTCATAATACAACCAGATAAGTAACTCCAACCTTACTTTTTCTGCTTATTACACAATTCAGCGCGTGAAAGCAAAAGTTGCATGTTTGGTGAAAAAGTTGGCTGATAAGCTGAAAAATAGTGCTGCCAAACGGCTTCTACGTGTTTGGTGAAAAAGCTGGTTGACAATACTAATAAACAAAAAAACAGGGTACCAAATGGGCTATAAATGTATTAATTTTTTTCCCAAAGTGCATTGCTATCATCAGTCATATACTCCCTCCGTCCCGCAAATGGAAATGATGCTTTGTGCGCTGCTTGATTTATGGTAAAGCGCTATTGTACACCGTGCACACAGTGTAATGATCATGCGGTATAATTTACCTATATGATAAGGTGAGTGCTGGTCACAAATAAATTAGTCATTCTTGTAATAGGTTTGATTGGTCTAACTCATTATCTCATTGGCATTTATTAATAATTTGAAACGGCATGGTTCTACTCTACGGAGTACTATATGATGATTAAGTAGAATTTGCCTATATGAAATGCAAAATAACATAGACTTGTTGTCTATATTTGACGGCCAACCATCTTTTGAATTTAGAAACAAGGCAAGCTCACATTCCAATTGCAAGAATATACTAATAACCTGCAGATGACTAACCAACTAATAAGCCACGTAACAAAGGTCTTCTTATATCGATCAAAGCCTCAATGTAAGATCAAGTGGAGGCTGATCAACCTTCCTCGGAAATGCAGTCCTTATATCACCATTGTTGTCTGCATATCCAGCAAAAACAAAACGACTCCAGCTATTGTTATTCGACCGTCTAGCAAGAGAAGCGCCGGAGAACAGAACCCTTCGGGTTGCTCGTTTGGCGATAAACCGTTCCCTCTTATGGGCATTCTGGTGACCCCCAAGAGCCTGTGAGCTGTAGAATTTGCGGTGGCAGAAATTGCACCTATAAGGTCTTGAATGGGCTGACCCTTCTGTTTGGGTGTTTGCAACTTTTCCTTCATAAGGGTTGGGTGTAGAGTTGAAGCTCAGAGATAGATCAAGTGAAATTGGCTCTGAACTTGGCTGGTCATGATGGGATGTTGTGGGGTTTGGCAGGAGTTGAGAGAGTATGCCATGGATGGATTTGTTAGATGATATTGTGACAGAATTGCTCATTTGAGATGCCTTATCATCAAGAACTTTAAGATCAAACTGAAATGGTTTCATGATTTTCACTCCTAGCTAGCACAAATCTGGCCAATAGATCATTACGGAGAATAGGCTAAACATATTAATGATAACATAACAGATTGATATTGATGCAAATATGCAATTTGAACTATTGATGAATTAAATTGGTACCGTAAATACATGTAATTGGTTCATACTTCATAGTGATACCACCTTGAAATTTCGGTCAAATTAGTTTTACTAGATAACCATAAATTCACTTAAGTTGAGAGAAAAAGTAGTTTAAGGGAAACTATATGTTAGTTGATTATATCAATATAATGGTTCATAGACACTTATACATATGCAATTTTTTAACACACGACATGTGTACACATAGACAACTTTACGAATAGTGTACAAACGACATTTTTGAGTTACCAAATTGTTGAGATGATGAGTCAAGCATGAATTTGATATATGCTACAATGACTAGTTTAGCTCCATGTATTTCGTCTTCTCTTGAAGTGATCGGATTAATTAATGGAATGAAATCTAAACTTGTTAACTGTTATGTATAACAAATTAATTTGATAATTTCAAATTAAGTAAGTGGAGCCATGCGTTCAAACACTAACGTATACTACGCAAATATAGTAAATGCATTATTTTACTTCCCAAGATCAGTCATATATAATACGTACTGACTACTGAGTACTCCGTATTTTTATCGAGTACCACATTTTCTCATACAAGGAAGTGATTATATACTTTGTACGGAGTACTGTTTTTTATGACAATAATATTACCAGATTAATGTATGATAATGCTAAAACATGGACCTACATTTTCGGGATCGGATGACATTAATTTCTTCTATTTATGGAGAAATATACTCGTAGTACCTTATGTTGAAATTTAGCCAAAATATATGCATGGTACTACTGTTAGGAAATTCTCCTATATTGAATCTCTATTAACAGTGAAAGAAAAAAATGTTTTAATTGGATTGGTTGCGGTCTCATACTGAGTCATACCAGATGAAATCATATTAAATTGGACTTAGATGATATAGAGTTATAATAAAGGAATTTTATCAATTCAGGACCTGAAAGATACACGAACTATCAATCCAGGACCCAAAAGATGAAATGTATTGATATAGGACCTGAATGATGGAAAACTATCGATCTAGGACCCCCGAATGATTGAAATCTATCAATATAGGACCTAAATTTTCATAGATTTTATTGATTTATTTATTTTAAAAAATTTAAATATTATTTAGTTTTATTAAACTAATAAACTTTTGTGAAGAAAAAATCATCAAATGTTAGCAATGGAATTAATAGGAAAATAAATAAATCAAAACCTATGAAATGTTAGGTCCTAGATTGATAGTTTTTCATCATTCGGGTCCTATAGCAACACATATCATATATGACTTAAGCGTAACAGACCAGAGCCAATTACACTTAAATATATCAGATCTGTCCATAAAATTACAATCCAATTAAAAAACATCCTAACAAATTAAACTCTCCTTAAAAAGCATCGAAGTAGCTATGGCAAAAGAAAAGAAGTGATAAACATGAGCTCGCAACGTGATTGATTTACTGATTAAATTAATTAATTATGAGACGTGGTGATGATCAAGCGGGCTAAGAACGTAAAGTTACGATTAAAATGTTCTTATCAAGAAATAAATCCATCTGCTTTTATAATGTGAAGATCATTTGGACAACAGAGGATTATAGGCAGGGACTTTTTAGCTAGTGTTTTTTACTCCGTATTTTGTTTATGATTTTAGCTTCGAAGGATATTGTATACGACTATACATAGTACGGAGTATATCAATTTATTTCATAGCTCGTTGACCAAAACGTAGTTTAATTTAAGCATTGTTTTTAGAAAGGGCAAATAAAAATTTAAAACCACTTATTGATATTTTCATAATTTTGTTTTTACTTTTGAAAAAAGTTTTTTTTTTAATATTTAAAAATAGAAAATTAAAAAGAAAAAACAAAAAGACAGTCAAAGAGAAATTCTAATGAAATAAATACCTAAGCTAGATACGACTAAAACACAGCTTATTTTATCAGCCCAACATTTTTTATTCTTAAACCAATTCTTCTACTTAGTAAATCTTACTACGTATCATTTACGAAGTTTGGCTGACATTTAAATAGTTATACTCTGGTACATATTTTGGAATTGCACTAAAAAAAATCTATTGAAATATTGAAGTGCAAAAATAGATCAAAAACTTGATACATAAAATCATAGATCAAACAAAGTTAAAAGGAATGTGTTGACACTTTGTTCAAAAAAAAGGAATGTGTTGACACGACCACATGACCACATAATAAATACTGACCCAAAAAAGTTTAATACTCGTAGGATTAAATTAAATGAGTTTGAATCAAAATCATTCTCTTGAATTTGAATTTCTGACACAACATTATTCTAGCTCTTCAATTATATTTGAGCACTCAATTGAACAAGTCACTAACCTCCTAATGATCAGCTCCATAACCCATCTCGAACTTGTCGTAGCAGCAGGCTAGTAAGTGAAGGATCATCTAACCATCTTCACAAAATGGGGCTAGCTAGCTTGTAAAGTTAATACAGTAATTAACGGCCATATATATGCAAAACTTCTTTAACTTGGGCTTAAAATTCACACAGGTAATTAAGGTGTTGTGAATGTTAATTTATATATAGAGCAAAAGTTGAGATGACTACCTGGGATGCTAGGCCAGGCTGGATACATGTAGGTAGGATAGGGTCATTTAATGAAGTTATCTGGAAAGCAAACTGCCAACGCAAAGAGTAGTGCAACAATGGCGTGACAAAGTGGAAGAAAAGTTGAAAACTGCATGAGAATGAGATCAGATCAAGTGCAAGTCATTTGTGAAATGCTTAGTCCGTACGTACGTACATGGAAACACATATCTATATTCATTAACATTGTTTGTCTTCTTACGCATGCATATGCTAATTACCAACTAACTCTACGCTGGAGCATCATACACTACTCACACACATTAGATCATTAGTAATTATGATGGTCTTCCGCTAGCGGGTTTAGTCAGCGGTTTTCGGGGCCTTTATCCGTTCTTCCCGTGTATTCAAGTTCAAAATCTCGTCATCATGTCCTCGCTCTTGGACCTCTTGTGCGATTCAGATCAGTGTGCAGGTACTCCCGATTTGGACTGTATCATCGTTCATTTATTTTTTTTCTTCAATTCATTCAATTTGTCATCATTTCTTTTTGTTTTTCTCATGCCACAAAAAAACGCTATGTATGGATCGGTTTCGCACAGATACCACATGATATTTATATTGGGGGTGTTCGAAAAATGGTGATTCAGTAAAAAATGACGAATTGACCTATTTTAGCGTTTTTAATAAGTTAAAACTTTCTTTGATAAATAGCTGCTCGACCCTAGTGCGTTTATGGACGAAACCGTTGAAATGGAAACACCGCAAATATGAGAGTTTTGTGTCAGATTTGTGAAATATGACATTTTCTTCTAATTGTTATGGCCAAACAACCAAATTGCCAAGCATTTTCTGGCAACTCGCCAACTTATTTTGTTAGTCAAACCCAGTGATCGATTGAATCCGTCATTGACAAACTGCTAACATAACCCAGTGTCAAAAATGCTCATTGCATCCTAAAAAGTCAAATTGATAAGAGTAGCTCTATATCTTACCTACGGAGTATAATTAGCTTAGCGTTTCTTTGGTCAAACTTATTAGTTTTATGGTTAAGAAGGTATTATAACAATAAACAAGTTCAAAAATATACGGAGTATATGTTTGGCATGATTATCACTTAGAAAAACATCCCTTGTCTTTTTCAATTTAAAACAAGCATCACATGGTGAAGATATATAATCCTTAGTGCCAACATGGTGAAGATATATAATCCTTAATACTATACCATTCATAAAAAAAAGAGTTTTGCTAGAGTTGTCCGCTGGATGCCCAGACGTTGATGCCACTAGTCCGCTGAATTTTTGTCCACACATACTTGCTGAACAAAGGTAGAGGGCAGACACTAATACAGTCCATTCTCCCTTTCACTCGCCCCAATCAGTTTCCTCGGATAAGTTATGAGTTGAACAAAACAATCAAGTTGGTCACTCGGAAACCAATAGAAATTACAATTTAAATTGGGTACATAGAGAGCAAGATTTTAGCGTAATTGATCAAATAACGGCTATGTTTGACATACCATTTGAGCTCATAAAGAGCTGAAATTCTTTCAATTCAGCTAATTATCATAAAAATAACCCCACTTGGCACTACAAAAAAAGTGCACATAGACTGCACATGAACCACAATAGTTTTTGCGATGGCAGCATAACTGTCGTTAAAAATACCATTAACCACACATTTTTTTATTTACCACACACAAAAATGTGGTAAAAGTTTAGAGACGACAGTTTTTAACCGTGGCCAATGTTTTTACCACAGCTGTTGTGCCGACGCACATAAAACTGTCGTAAAAACGTAAGGAGGAACATTTACGACAGTTTTGCGTCAGTTTTACATGCGCCGCCACAACAGTCGTGGTAAAAACATTGACAACGGTTAAAAACTGTCGTCTCTAATCTTTTACCACAATTTTGTATGTGGTAAATAAAAAATGTGTGGTTAATGGTGTTTTTAACGACAGTTATGCGGTCATCGCAAAAAAAATATTGGCCTATGTGTAGTCTATGTGCACTTTTCTTGTAGTGTGGAGAGATAATGAACTGAGCTTATGTAGGAAAAAAGGCTGAATTAAAACGTTGCTAGCCCAAGCGTTGCTATTCAGCCTATTAAATAACGCACGTTCTGTACCACTTCTATCCCTGAGCCTGTAAATTTTTCATCCGTGCTGCCTTGGCTCTTTTCCTTGGCTTCAAGATTTCTTCATAGCCTTTTCCTAGTTGTTGTTGCTAGTGTAGGGTAATAATTCTGTGAATACTTTTCCGATTATTTCATTCCACAACTACACACAAATGCAGATAAACGAGTCAGGACTAAAGTATAGAAAAGGGAAAAGGACATACTCATTCCTTCTGTATTTTCAAATCGCCCCTGCGTGTGGGTTTGTCGCAAAGGCAAAGCAATTAGGATTTGAAAGAAAGGCCAATTTCAGGGGCTGGCTAGGAGAGGACTAGCACTAATATTGAGTAATATTTAACGAAAAGTAGTACTCCGTGCAAAGATTTAGCAGGAAGCTAGCCTTCCCTCGGATTATATTATAGGGACTTAGGGAGTATTATACTCTGTATGGTTCTGTGATTTTAAAAGGCTGAAAATATAAAAATCATAGTAATAAATGTTTTATCATATTAATAAATCATATGTACTCTAATGTAATTTCATATTATTCCAACTCCTAATTCAAATATTAATTTCCAACTTCAGCTCGTTATGCCAAACATATTCGATACTTTTTCCGTAGTCAAGACCTTTGCTCCGCCAGGAGGGCCTACGAGGCATGAAATAATACTTTTAATATTGAACAAATGCCTAATATTCCCAGTTACATATATGGTTGGATGCAACCATATCAATTATTCCAACACAAAAGCTTACACTTATAACTAGTAATAATACGTTCGGGTGGGGATCGAGTATTAGTGTATTACTGAAAGCCACTAAAAGAGCTTTACACTTGCATTCCAATACAAAAGAATGCATTCCAATACGTTCGGATGAGGATCGAGTATTAGTACATTGATAATGAACAAGTTATAATTACTACTTCGTATTTACTACTCTATATACGACCATATGGATAATACGACAAATAAAATTGTAAAATGTCAACATTTTTTTTACTCATGAGTAATTCTTACACATATAAAGCAGCTTTGAATAATCCACACATTGAAGTTTGAAAAAAATATATCTACGGAGAAATTAATTTATTATTTTGATTTTTATGCTCATTTCTCAAAAGGTCGGTGTAATTCATTAAGCTACCAGAATTAGGCGTGTAGTTAGTTCAGTTGTTGCAAATTTGCAACAAATGGAGATTGCACTGATCTAGGATATCAGCAATACATCCATATACAATTATTTACTAATCAATTACACATTTTTAGATATTGTGCGTGAAACTTTGAGTGTGAAATTAGATTTTGTTTCTGAAATTTTAAATCATATTGAAGATTAAGATAATTATAGTTGCATATTCAATAAGAAAAGTAACGCTCGGATAAACAAATGTACCCCTGCCCGGTAAGGGCACGAATTATAAGAAAAAATGGGTCCCATTTGTTAACTTTGGCATAGTTGATCGACCTGCATTATACTCTGTATACTTTTGAACGTATACTTTTGATAAAGCCACCACTTCAAGTGGCGGCTTTTCTTAATCTAACAATATTTTGGGAATTATTTATTTAATTAGCATTATTTCGGGAAAATACTCAAAATTGCGAATTGAAAAAATTAAAGATTCGAAATAACGATTAAAGAATTACCCAATGGCCAGTACTGAAATCTCAAAACTGAACTATGAAGGCTGGTCTTGCTGGTTGCTGGATAACCTGGTCGGTTCTATGGTTTCTTTTGCGGCCGAAGTTTTGCCTCCGTATACTTCAATTCATATTTTTTAGAGAATATCATCCAAAATAGGACTAAGAAGGTTTGAAAATTCCAAAATAGGAATGCCATGTTTTTATTCCCAAAATAGAAATAATTACTTCCATGTTTTGGCAGTACCAGACTTCAAATATGACAGTATTTTTCAAACTTGGTAGTAATTACTCATATTTTGGGAATAAAAGACATAACAGTCTTTTTTTTGGAATTTTCAAATTATTTTAGTCCTATTTTGGGAACTTGCCCTATTTTTGAATACCAAAATTCAGTGGCCAAATAAGGAGTTTAGGTAATTAGTTTGTTGTTTAGTGACTATATATATACTATACGTACTAGGGTCAGGCATGTTGAGAATTTTTTTTTTTTTTTTTTTTTTTGAAAAAGCATGTTGAGAATTACTTATCTAATTTGATTTAAGTTGTAGTTAGGAGTGTTCATGTGCTACCCGCCTGGCCGCATTGCAAGATGGATGAATGATGGTCATGTATTACTTCTATAAGTGGTGCATGAAGTACTATTTATATAATTCCTTATTTTTTTCTAAACACTTTATTTATGAGAATCATTCTTTCGTGCAATCAACTTAAATTCCATTTAATCTCTAATGTTATGAACAAAAATCTTGGCATTTTAAAATTAGTTTTGTGTTTCCCAATAATAAAAAATTTAGTACAGTGTTCAAATACTCCACATGCGGCCCGCATTCATTATTTACAAAGTGAATTGAAAGTATAAAGGGAGGCATGACAATTACTACACCTTCATCTCAGAATTAGCTTTATTGTTACTACTAGTATGATAGAGTATTGTTAAGATAAGAGTAAATTATATTGTCGATCAAACATTATTGTAACACTATGCCTCGTAGTGTTCGAGATACTTACTTCCGCATGTTATCTAGACCTCTAGTACTGTTTTTACAAACCAACAGAAACATTTTTCACGTTTTGTCCTCACTCGTGTGCGCCCTAAGAAACTTCCAGAGATCACCTATCCCAATACTACTCTTGTACAAACATGCTTAACTTGATATTCTTAGCTGATGAACTCTCTTAAAAA